AGCTGTCCAGTTTTCCCAGCAATGAAGTGTCCAATAGTGAGTCCTGAGGGCTTCGGTTTAATGAACACTGTTATTTTGTTCATTTTCTTCTGTATTCTGTGTACTTGATCTTCTTCCACTGATTGAAGGAATTTATTAATTGGTGGAAGTATAGTAATGCTTTTTGGTGTCCTAGAAAGTTATTAAAGCATAGGAATCAGACTTGCTGCTAAAATATCAAGTTTTTTTTACACTTGAATTTGTGTATAACCTGGCCCGTTTTATTTTCATTAGGTGGACCCTGACGTGTTTGCTGCACTTCCTGCTGAACTTCAAGAGGAGCTGAAAGCTGCATATGATCAAAGACAAAGGCAATTGGAGAACGCCACATATCAGCAACCAGCTAACTCATTGGGTGAGCTTGGGGACAGTGAAATGGCCCATCAAAGGTTAGGTCTTCCATGCACACATGAACATCCTATACTCCATTGTACGTCATAACATGATCAGCTTTCTTGTTTTGAATCTTTCCAAGTTTAGCCAGCCAGTCTTAGATCCTTAAAGAATGCCAGGGCCATGAGTCATGTGGAGGTAGGGTGTTGATGAAGGTACTGGAAATTATTAGATTTTAAGGCCTTTTTTTGGGTGGGGGGTTTGTTCTTTTTTGGTTTTTCAGTATCAAAGAATCCTTTATTACAACTAAAACAAACAGTAGTAAAAGATAAGAAAAGCAGGAAGAAAACAGCCAGTCCCATGAAAAAGGTCCAGAGTACTTTGAACAACAAGCTGCTCAGCAGTCCAGCTAAAACACTGGTAACACCTACTGGAAGCCCGAAGAAGCTGATAGACGGCTTTTTGAAACAAGAAGGTCCAGCTTCTAACGCACAGGTAAGATTGTACTGCAACTTTTACTTTTCTTCTTGGGACAGTGTTTCCTTTCATTGCTGATGAAAAAATAGTTTTTGATTTTTGCATTGTAATTGGTAGCTGACGGGATTAAATTCTTCCCCACAGGCTGAGCCAAGTTCATCAACTTCAGTTAGGTCAGGCCCTTCTTTGCCATCAGAACTGGGAGGCTCCTTTAGACAACCAGCACCCAATCTAGCTGGTGCTGTTGAATTCAGTGATGTGAAGACCTTGCTCAAAGAATGGATTACCACTATATCAGGTAGTCTTAGAACTTGTCAGTCTATACCTTTTTCAACGGAAATGTTTCATGTTTATAAAACTGTACTTTACCTTATAGGTAATCAATCATTGAATGTTAAAATTAAAAGACTGACAAAATTATCAATTTACTATCTATTGTACTGTGTTCTCTTTTCTTGATTAATTATTCCGAACTCACTGGGGAACAGTAATTTTTGGAGAGGTTGATTCAGGACTTCATAAATCAAGACAAAAATCTGTGAAGCACAAAGGAAAACATCTAATCTTATCACTTCTCTCCATCCCCTCATTAATATCCCTGATTGGGTTTTTTGGGGGGAGGGGGGAAATCCTGAGGCAATTGGGATTAAGTGTATCACCCAGCTCAGGTCCTCCTGACTCCAGTGCCACCTAGCTGCCCCACTGATTGATTGGGATCTTTTAGAATAGCCCTAAAGATAGGTTGGAAGACATTTTGCCTCTTGACTTTTTTTTTTTTTTTATCCCCAACAGATCCAATGGAAGAAGACATCCTGCAAGTTGTAAAATACTGTACTGACCTAATAGAAGAAAAGGATCTAGAAAAACTGGATCTGGTTATAAAGTACATGAAAAGGTAATGTGGTAGGTTGCACCTGTTCTCAGCTGGGAGAAGAGGATAGAAGCATCTTAAATAGCATTTTGGGTTGTTGGGGGTTTTTTTTGAAGTGACAAGTTAAGCAGGTAGTTCCGAGCAGCCTGTTCTGAAACATTGCATATGTTCATCACTACTTGAAAATTGGAATCTACTATTATTAATTACATTAGATTCATTTTTAAAAATGTTTTGATAATCATATGGAAAAACATTTTACGCTTTTAAAAGCAGCATTATGAGAAGGGCTCCATAACACAAGGTAGGTTAAGGTTCTGACAGTAGGTTGCCTACTGGCTTTTGGAGTAGTGAAAAATTGATTATTAAAAATCTCCAAGTACTAAAGAACATGAAATAGAATGTGTAAATGGTAAATGACTAGTAAATTTTGACTAGTGAAAAGACTTCCACGTGAAACTGTTGCTAAATGGCCAAACATTTCCCACATTGCCACTTTTAAAAGGCTTTCCATCATTTCTCAGAATAGGCATATTATATATAGTCTAGGTAACAACAAAAGGTCTCATTACTTATTCTTAAGTAATTTATTCCAAGTCAGAAAATCCAACTTGTATTGTTCTGTGCTGATTTAATCTAGATATTCTTCTTAACCTTCCTGGAAGTGTAGATATTTTGCTATTGAAAACAATTTGAGGATTAATACTTTTTTTTTTTCCTCTTGCTTCCTCCCAATCCCTACCCCCCTCACTTCAGGTTAATGCAGCAGTCTGTGGAATCAGTTTGGAATATGGCATTTGACTTTATTCTTGACAATGTTCAGGTGGTTTTACAACAAACTTATGGAAGCACATTAAAAGTAACCTAAACTTGTAATAAGGAGCTTGGTGAGAGCCTGGAGCTCTCTGCTAGCTGTGCCATAAGTGCTTGTGAGGTATTTGCAAAGTGCATGATAGTAATGCTCTGAGTTTTTATAATTTTGAATTTCTTTTTAAACAGAAGTGTTTTGTACATTTCTTTTCAGAAAGTGCCAAATTTGTCAGTATTGCATGTAAATAATTGTGTCGATTCTTTTACTGTAGCATAGACTCTATTTACAAAATGTTTGTTTATAAAGTTTTATGGATTTTTACAGTGAAGTGTTTACAGCTGTTTAATAAAGAACTGTATGTATATTTTGTATTGACTTTCATTTTGTGAATCTTTAAATGTCTGCCCCTCTTTATTGTTCTGTTAGGCCAGGAGCTCTCTCATCATACCCTTAAGATAACTGTGCTTAGATTTCCCCTCTTTACCTACCTACTAAGTAGCATATTTTTTTTAAAGGTTAGTTGACTCTTTACTGAACAATAGGATGTTTAACTTTACCTTTAATTCTGACAATGTATGTCACAACTGGCCGAGTCTGGAATATGGAGAAAGTTCATTGTGAGCATCTCTTCCGACTTGTGTCCTAATATGTGGTAAAAACTTCATTCTTCCCATAGACTTTAATAAACCAATCCACACTGAATCTACTAAATCCCTATGATTCGTGGCCACTCATTTAATTTATATATGATATAATATGTGTGTGTGTGTGTATATATATATATATATATATATACACATATACATATACATATACATATACATATATATATTTAGATAGATAGATATAGCTATCTCCTGCCCTAAAGCCTTCATGTGTCATTCTGGGTCTTTCTGTTCCCTCAAAGTGCTATGTGGTCACTATTTTCCCAGATTACTAGGCAATCTACATTTAAACTTACAGACTTCCTTTCAAACTTGGGCAGATAGGTAATAGGTGAAGTAAGTAGGTGTAATACATACTCTGCACCCTGATTTACCCTGTTCCCAGCCCATTAAAAAAAATTACTTACAACTCAGATACTTTGTTGTGAGATATAGATATATATATATAGATAGATAGATATATACATATATATATATATATATATATATATATATATAGCCTGACTCTCCTTTCTTCCTTTTAAATTAAATCTACAAAGCAGCAGATTGTCAATGTGCAAAAATAAATATCCATATAACTCAATTCAAAAACATCCTACAATCCAAAAACAGTTTACGATTAGACACAATGGTAATGGGGTTTTCCTCCCCTTTTGGGGATTTTGTTGATTCTAATCTATGAAGAGCTTATTTGTGGCATAATTGTGTTCAAGCATACATCACACTGGACAGTATAAGAAAACATTATCACCCATCTTATCTTATTCAACCTTCAGACTGCTCCTTCACCCACTGGATCCAACCTGTCTCAACATAAATCACAACACAAATTTGAGCAGAGTGGCCCCTCCCTCACACATGCTACAGAAACTAAATAGCTCTGGCCCAATTACTCCAATCCTAATCCTCATTTAGGAAAAACTCTACCTTCCAAGGCAGCAGCTTAAAACAGCTTGTTTAATATAAAGTAGTTCAGAAGTGTTAAATCTGCATGGTCAAAATGTCCAACATGCACTTGGACTCCCATTTCTCTGATACTTTCGCCAACTGATCCAAAAATGGATCAATGATAATCACATGTTGAAAAAATAAAGAGTTCCTGTCTGAACTCACTCTGATCCTATGTCTGTCTTGCTGGGGGAACATGTCTACAATATACTCTGATTTCTGAAAAACAATGCACAATACAGGAAAAATATGTTAAAGAAAATCTGTATAAAAATGACTGCTGCTAGATTTTAAGAAACTTGCTAATGCTAGTACAAGGTATCGCAGTGTCATCTATAAGCCTTTGTCCTTAGAAGGATACTTACACTGAGAAGATGACAACTAATACCAACTTTTAAGCAAGAATAGTCTGTGCTGACATTGAAGCCTAATAGAATTTGATGGTCAATGTCCATTCCCTTTATTTGTGGCTCTGTATTGTAATGATTACAGTTTATGTTGACTTCCATGGACTGTACAAGCAATAAAAGGCAGCCAGCTATGCTTTACATCATTGTTTCACACAAAGCAAATACAGAAATATTATATTACCTAATTTTCTATTTTAAAAAATTTCTATAGGCACAAAGCAGAATGCTGGAAAATCACCGAGGAAAGAATATGCATAAATAAAGAAGTATTTCTTACATCAAAAAAGTCCAAGAATCACAAAGTCTGCAGAGGCTTGG